TGCTTCACAAACTCGGATTTGTGTAAGAACATTGGATGCAACATTAATTGTTCGTTGGGAGGGTGATCAGTTTATCGCTGGTCTCTTTCCGGAATGCTTTCTCCTCGAACCTTCATCAAACAATCTTCATGGGTTGGCCACATTCCCATTTATCTTTTGGTAAAATATGAGCTTGATCCAACGGTGGAAACATCTCTATGATGCAAAACATTTGACTCTTAGCATTTGTCGTGAAATCATAATATGGAGCTGTCCTCCCCAATTTGCATTTCGACTAGCCCTGAATAATTGCATACTAGCGACATCTTTAGTACTTGTAAAATGCTAAAGAAAGTTAGTATCCTTTCTTGTTATCCTCTCTTGAGACTAAAATCCATTCCCTAAAATTTTAGTTTTATTATGGTTGTTTAAATGCAACAAACAACATAAGTGGCAGGAACAGAAAGTTAGTGTTCTTCATCCTTTCTTGTCTAAAATGCTCTAATTTTTTATAAAGACTCTAAAATCTACAACACATTAAAAGAAGCATTTAAATGCCAAAATCAAGTAATTATTTGTCAAAAACCTAATAAAATATAGTAAAACGTAGTGAATACATATATCAGGATCTCATTCCTCAGATCTCCGAACTCGGGTTCTAGCACATAGGTCATGGACGCATGGTGATACAATTGCATTCATGATTGTCCAATAGGAGGAAAAACGTAAGCTCATGATTGTACAATTGCGTTTGAGTTTGTAATCCTAGAGAAACATTTAAATTTGAGAGAAATCTCATCCGAGAAACATTTAAATTTGACAGAAATTTCATCTGTCGCCTGGGCTGATCACTCAAGTTGGAATAGCCGATCAAGATTCCAATTCAACAACGGCAAGAAACTCTTAAGCCCATCATCGTACAACTGCGTTTAAGGTTGGAATCCCGAATAAAAGTTTAAACTTGAGAGAAATTTAACCAGTCGCCTAAGCCGTTGACTAAGGTTTGTATAGTGGATGAAGATTCCAGTTTAACAACGCAAAGCAAATCTTAGTGCAATATGGTACGACTGTGTTTAAGAAAATCTATTTTGGATTCTCAGTCTAAGGGTAAAACATTTGTCACCCTATGCGTGCTAGGATCAAAACAAGTGTTATATTCTCGGAGAACGATTAAAGTATAGAGGAATTTATTTCGAGGGAGCACTAGAAAGAGAGGTTTCTCGAGCATTATAATACAAGCTGCTGAAACACATACGGAGTTGTTCCAACACGTGGAACAAAGTGAGATTGAGCTCTTATTGAATTAGAAAGCCTATTATGAGAGAGGTTAAAAGCCAACATAACATGCAACGTGAAAATTTCGTGGTGGTAGTATAAAACACAAGAGGCATTGACAAAAAGAGTTATGCGCCTAGGGTATCATTGAGAGAGACGTCGTCCACTGATCACATGAACAAGATCTGCCTGTTGGTGTTGTTGAGGGATCATGACCATTTTCAGGTTTGAAATCATGTTATAGAAAATAGCAGTATATCAAAACGGTTGTGTTTATTTACTTGTTTGCAATTGTGTATTGCTTTCTTGTTCTATAGTGGATTCGTTTTTGGACTGGGTCCCGGAGATGTAGGGAAACCGAACCTCGTGAAAAAACTTCATGTGTTATTTACTTTATGTTCATACATACTCATTAAACACGAACATACAGATCTAGCCACCAAGTTGCTTTTTCACCAGTAGCGCTCCATCCGCCGTGTTAGATGCTGCAAGAATCAGACGCATCATAACAAAGCTGTATGGTCGGCGAAGTGGTGCAAGAAGACAAAAATATAGGTGAAAAGCACTTGAATGTATCGTACTAAATTAAGCTTGAAAGTCAATATCGACTCAACTAGGACATGGAGTCAAGTATCCGAACCGGACATGTAACAATCTATAAATAC